AATAGTGGTCAAAAAGGTTTTAAAGGCCCCTAACATTGCCAGGAACACCACAACATATCTATTGTAAAATAATACTTCTTCAGCATTTATTAATCTTAGTTAATGTTAATCTCAACATTTACTACATTTTAAAATTGAAAGTTGTATTTGTTAACATTAGTTAATGCACTGTGAACTAGCACGAACATTTTTATTAACTGACTTATTAACAAAATGATATAAAAATTAATTGCTCATTGTAAGTTTATGGTAGTTAATATATTAACTAATGTTAACAAATGAGATCAATATGATTCATTTGTTTTCATTGTCATTCCTTACCCGTACTATATCCTCTCTGTAATGTCTCCAGGGTGCACAGGGTGAACGTGGTGTCCCAGGTTCATCTGGGCCTAAAGGTGCAACTGGAGACCCTGGCCGACCTGGGGAAACAGGAATTACGGGGGCAAGGGTTAGTAAAATTGATGTTCTGTATATTTGTATTCTGTATATTATCTATATTTGGTTTTAGAAATTATGTTTTGCACCACACCCTACTGTATATATAGTACCATGCTGTTATAAAATATGTCATAATTCTGTTCTGGGGTTACGTAGACTTTGTGACCTTGCTTTGACAGGAATGCATGATATTGCTGGTACTTTTAATTTGCACAGATGGTATTGAGTCCACATTATTTAAGGTGTTCACATATTATATGTCATGTCTCTTTAGGGCTTGACTGGCATTTTGGGAATGCAAGGTGCAGAGGGGAAGATAGGCCCACAGGTAACATTTCCACCTAATGTAATCCTGTTATTCCTTCCTATTGTATACCTTCCTAAAAGAGGTCTTTAAACTCCTCAGTGGTTCCTCTGGGAACTTTCTTGGGAAAATTAGATGAACTAAACATGTCAACTCACATCCTTCTGGAATTAGCCTTCTAGATTGGCCAACTGTTATGGCTGAACAGCTCCAAATCACTTTGTCACTATATTTAAAATATATATATATAATATAATTACACTATATTCTTTGAGTTCTGCCACCTCAGTTTCTGATGAGGATGGTGTTTTTTTTCCTTAGGGAGCACCAGGAGATGATGGGAATCCAGGTTCAGCTGGGCCTACGGGAACCAGAGGTGCAGCAGGACCCATGGGTCTGCCCGGACCTAAAGGCTTCAATGTAATTCCCTATTATATGTATATTTATAAAAAAGTCATAATATGATATTCTAAATATTATTGACATGTGTCATATTGTATATCTCATAATACTTTCGAAGCAAAGAGTATATCAGGGTGATTCTTCTATTAAGGGGACTTTCTGTCCCCTAGAATGATATATATATATATATATATA